TCCTGATAGGAATCCTAGAAACTGACTGACATATATGTATACACACACACACACACACACACACACACACACACACACACACATATATTGATCAAGTCTAAGGGTAAGTCACATTATACATTTTGAGTAGCCAGACTTCTGGCAAACTTCCATTACACAAAGAGCCCTCCAAGGTCATCTTTATTATAAGGAGATCATTATGTTAAGCAAAATAAGCCAGACTCAGAAAAAAATCCTGCTTACTTTGTCTCATATAGGGAATATGAAAATAGAATGAGGACTCTGAGGAAAAGGAAGGGACTAGAGAGGGCAATGGGGAATGAATACGGTTACAGTAAAGGATACACTTTAATGGAAATGTCATTATGAAATATTACTACATCAATGAATATAAAATGACACGATGAAAAAGTTTAAAATAAAAATTAAAAGTTCAACCTGGCGTGGTGGCACACGGCTTTAATCCCAGCACTCAGGAGGCAGAGACAGGCAGATCTCTGTGAGTTCAAGGCCAGCCTGATCAACATAGTGAATTCCAGGCCAGCTGGAGCTACAGGGAGATCCTGTCTCAAGAAGAGACCAGAGGGGAAAAAAGTATTCTCTCCAGATTATAAAACGTTCTTTTAAATGTTTTAATAAGAACAACCCTGGGCAAACAGAAATGGCTTTGATTTGGAGAGTTAAAGCACTGTAGGGTTGAGAGAGAAGCTACCAGCCAGTGTATTTCTCTTCTATGGTAACTGAACTGGTAAGATCAAGAGGACACCAACAGCTGGCAGACTGCGAGGCACCAAGGCGGGGCTGAGCCCAGACACCTGGGGGAATGGACCAGTGTCCCCAACCCTGGGTACCACTACAGTTCATCAAAGATGCAGGATCTGAGGGATGCATAGGGTGGCCCAGGGCTGCTAGAAGGCACCTCTGACTCACTCAGCGTTTGCCGCTCACCGCATGGGCAGATCACTCAATTCTAACTTCAAAGACGTTCTCACCCCCTCATCAACTATTAAAACCTCAAGCTGTAACATCATTAGCCCGGTCAGGCCCAGGCCAGTGGAAAAGCGACATGTGGGAATGTACCTTTTGTGTTTTGAGCTTGTGGTCTGCACGCTGAAATTTGTACCAGATGGATTTCAAGATGGAAGCAAAGGGAGTTACCCCAATTCCTGCCCCAACCAGTACAGCCACTTCAAACTGGAAAACATCCTCACTGACGGTGCCGAAAGGACCGTCCACCTGAATCCTAGCAGGCGACATAAGACAAAAGACAAGTGAAGTCTCATCTCCATCAGCTGATAGCTGCCCACTTATTTTAATCATATGCTATCTTACCAGACTGGTGCTTCAAAAAGGAAATGTTTTTTTTCCCTTTGGTCAGTCTTCATCTTATTTTGAGTCTCTGAGGGTCTCAAGAACCTACCTGGGCATTGGTGAGTGCTGGTGTTCAAATGCCCTTATAAGATTTTCTGTCCAATCCCCTGCTGATCGGATATGAATGGAGAAAAAATCTTCCTCTGGCGCAGAGGTCAGAGTAAAGGGATGCCACTCCAGAAGAGAAACTGAGGGGCAATTTACAAAGATGTATTGTCCCACTTCCATACTAAAGCCACGCTTTCTCATCTGCAATTCCAAAACGTTAGATGGGTGCATGACAACCTGTGAATGAAACACATAAATCATTGGAGGCAAACTCCAAAGGTGACATGGAAAAGTGTTTAAATAAATGAGTATAATGGCCGTGCTGGTGACGTGTAAACTGTGAGGTCAAATCTAAAGGGGCAGCAGCTACTTAGCTGCAGACAAGGGTTGCAATGTGGAAATGAAATTCTGCATTATTGGAGTTTTGGATACTTCAGGAAGAAAAAACAATGCTTTTATTATTACTAATTTTTTAGGTAGCATGCAAAATAGCCAGTTTCATTATGACATTTTCATACATATTATCATTGGACCTTATGCTCACCCCGCATCTCCTCCCCACACTTAGTGGTTCCATTCCACCCCCAAATAGTCTCCATTCTGCTTTCATGTCTCAACCTCTTCTTCCCCCTCATTGTCCCCATCTGCTTCCATAGTCTGTACATTTATATTTACATTTAAATCTATATTTATATTTACATTTACATTTATATTTACATTTAAATTTGGATTCCATATAAGAAGGAAAACACATGGCATTGACCTGTCTCAGGCTTACTTTGCCTAACATGATGATCTCCCATTCCATCCATTTGCCTGCAAGCAACAAAATTTCATTCTTCTTTATAACTGAATGAGTTTTATTGTGTATATTTACCACATAGGAAATGCCCTTAAATTTTTTAATTTATTTTTATTTATGTGTGTATTTATCCATTTATCTATATGTGCAGTGCTCGAGGAGGCCAGAAGAGGGCATCAGATTCCCTGAACTGGATTTACAGGTCCTCATGAGCCATCCAGTCTGGGTGTTGCAATCCAAACCTAGGTTGTCTGCAGGAGCAGCAAGTGGTAGGGTGTTGGTGATATAGTGATGAGCATAGCTGCCTTCCAAGCATCTGAGCCAGATTCCATACCTGCCCAGAATGGTACCTTTAATCCCCGCATTCAGGAGGCAGATGGATCTCAGTGAGTTGGAGGCCAGCCTGGTCTGTAAAGCAAGTTCCAGGCCAGCCAGGGCTACACAGTGAGGAGAGAGAGAGAGAGAGAGAGAGAGAGAGGTGCTGGGGTCACTCAGAAGACATGTTTTGCAGAAAACAGATGAGAGAGAGGAGAGGAGAGGGGAGAGAGAGAGAGGAGAGAGAGAGAGAGACTAGTGCAACTAGTGCGACTAGTGCTCTTACTACTTGAGCCATCTCTCCAGCCCCCAAGAAATACCTTCAAGGGAAAACCTCCATCCAGTTTTTAAAAATATTAACAACTAGTTCTTTATTTCATTTTCTTTTATTTTAGGCTATGAGAACAATTCCAGGGCCTCGAGCATGGTAAGCAAGCACTCCACCACTGAGCACACCCTCAGCCTCAGTTCACCCTGTAAATAATCACTGTGTGTACAAAACAAATTATATCTATGGGCAAATGCTGCCTCAGGTCCCCTGCTTATACCCTCCAACACAGACCCATGCTAGCAGTCCCAGCCAAATCCCTATTTCCTACAGTTTTATCGAGTGCTGGAGAAACTAAAGTGTGTTTCTTCTTCCAAGATCCTTTTTATGCCTTCAGGGACAACATCAAGACAATTTAGTTCTGAACTCAGGTAGAAAAGAACTTTTACCACTACAAGAGGAAAGTGTTTATTTCTTTACCTTGGTAATCACAACCCTCTGCTGAGAGCGATAAAAGCGAAGGATCCTTTCAAAGATATATAGAGCAATGGGTGCAAGGATCCACTTCCAAGACTGCACAAAGACAGAGTGAAGAGTGATGTTACCCACAAATTTCTCGTTTAGGGCTTATTCGTGCAGCAGTTCATTCCTTCATTCAATAAGTATTTATCAAGTTCTCTGATGTGTGTCATTAATTTCACCAGATTTTAGGGTGGAAATAGAAACGAAAACATGACAATAGTTCTGTTTGCCAATCTGTTACTCATAAAATAGACCATTCTCTGAAATTTATAGGTCAGATCAGGAAGCAAATGCAAAAGGCAAACATAAAATACAAGGGTACATATATGTATGTTCTTAAATTATGTTTAACATTTGAAAAATTAAGACTATCTTCCAGGACAATTTATTCTCTCTGAAGAAAATAGAAAAAGATAAATAAAAACAAAACTAATAAGAAAGAGAATGTATGCAACTTATGTTATTGGAAACATTATACCAAACTTGAATTCCAAATTCCATCCTAGTGCTACTAAACACCAAAAGCAAACAAACTTAAAACTCTCTCTCCTCTTTCTCTCTTACACACACACACACACACACACACACACACACACACACACTAGAATTTTAGTCTCTCAAATAGGAAGACACCATTAAGAAATAATGTCCAGAATTAACTGGGGTTCAGAAAATTCACAAATTCACGTAAGCAGCTGATGGAAGTTGGCAGCATCTTCCTAGAGGGCAATTTGCCAGCACGTCCCAACAGTCTCATTCACTTACTTTGGCCCTGGAATTTCACTTCTAGAAAATGGGGATAAAGAAATAATTAGGGTGTGCGTAAAGCACATGACAATTAAATGAGCCAAAATATTTATTAAGAAAAAATAACAAGATGATATATATGTTTTTTTAAATAAATGCTTGAAAAGAATATTTTACAATAGAGAAAAGAATCCATGATGCAGATGGAAAGATTATCTGTAGGTGGTAAAACTGTATGACATTTTAACTTCTATTTTTATATATTTTTACAAACTTTCTCTAATAAATATGTATTTATTTTCTAATTTTCAAATAGGAGATTTGGAAGAGTATTTTTTTAATTTTGTGGAAAAAACAAAGCAGTACATTGAGATAGCAAAACTGGTATTTTCTCCCTTAGTATATCACATGGTCTGTCAAAATAACCCCTGACTTTTACGTATACCTTGAAATAGGCCACTCTAACATGTCTCAGGTAACAGATACGAGAAATATACCAATGGGCAATAGCCTCACCTAAAGCCCATAAAGAGGAAGACATAATACTGCGATGGCAATCGTGGTGGCCCTTACTGACCTAACATGATCATCTCTTATGTGCAACTGAAAGTTAGAGACCTCCTCGCTATCCCAGAGGCTTCAACTCAGCTAACGCCCCACTACTGATATGGCCTGCTCTAATTACCACCCATCTGTCCATCTACCCATTTGTCTGTCTAGACCCAGTCCCACAGTTCATCTCCACAGCCTCCATGAACCTGGACTTCACCTCTGTGGACTGACTCAATCCTGAGGCATTGCTCAGTTCTGACCTTGTAGCTTTGCATGGCAGCCATCTTCAGCAGCTCTGCAACAGGATTGTCTAACTCCCAGACATTCTCTATGTATCAGTATCCTCCTCTTGCCTCTGCAGCTATAAAGCCTATTTTTTGAACTCACTGAACTCTGCTGTGGCCTCTGTATCCCTTTTGTACCCATTCTGTAACTGATACAGATAGACAATAGATACATGCATACATACATACATACATACATACATAATATGATGTTTAATGCATTATCTAAGAGTTAATATTAATAACTAAGATAAGAATATATGACCCCTTGTTTGCCAATGGCCTGATAGCAAGGGAAATCAGGACTACTTGGCAAATCACATATAGTAAAACCTACATATCTTGTAAATTTATTGTTATTCAATGAAGTCTGATATTATAGAAAGACACAAATGTGTCCATCTGTTTCTGACATAGCACAGTCATGGCAAGTACCTATTCAGCTTCCTCTTTCTTTTTATTACCACTGAATACTGTATAAATTAGGTTCCATAATTCAACTAGTCAATATTTGGTTCTATAAAGTAATGATGTAATTAACAGACTATCACTTCTTTACTTCAGGTTCATTGTTGCTTTAGTGATTGCTAGGAGTTATATATATATTTATTAGAAATTACTTGTAATTACTTTCCCACTTAATAATGCATCAGATGCTTTTCTTTCTTAGGTTTTTGCTAGGAAATATCTTTTACTTTTTTGGTTTCAAAGTTATCTTATTTTAAAATGTCTTTCCCCTTCCTATTATTAGAGCAAAATCCCCATATGAATGGTCTTAGGGTGGTTTTATGATTTATTTTTTGACATTTAAATCCTGGCTGCATGCATCCTTGTTTCATATTTTAGTGTAAGGTATAGAACAAAGATAAATGTTTTCCTGTATGGCTATTTTGTGGCCCTTAAAAATATTAACCTATCATTTCCACAATGATTGAAATACCAATTTTAGGAAACTTTTTGTTTCAAATACTATTTTTTCTAAAGAAAAACTTCTAAACTATTGCTCTTAATCTTGCATATGATTTAAAGACTTTCATCATTCTCAGAAGACTTTACGACACCACAAGTTGCTCTTTCAGTTCCATTTATTCCTCAAAATAACCTATTTTATGATCAAGCAAAGGTAAACTATGCCATCTGTGATAATTATATAAGACACACCTTGAATTCCCTAGAACAAAATTTCTTTATTTTCTTTCTTTTTTTGAGATGAGTGGTTTGGGGAATCAAACCCGAGGTCTTGTTCACAGACGTGTGTCTTCCAGCCCCTGAATTTCCTTCCTTCCTTCTTCCTTCCTTCCTTTCTTTCTTACCTGTCTCCTTTCTTTCTTTTTTCTTTGTGTGTGCATGCATATTGATGTGTATGTGCACATGTGTGTACGTGTGTGTGGTAGTCAGAGGTCAACATCACATATTTCCTCAGTGGTTCCTCATCTTACTTTTTGGGACAGGGTCTCTTACTGAACCTGGAGTTCACCAATTTGTCTAGACTGACTGGCCAACAAGCCCTGGGGATCCTCTTCTTTCTACCTCCACATGCTGGGATTACAGGTACATTCTGCTATACATAGCTTTTTACATGACTGCTGAGGATACAAAATCAAGATCTCATGATTGCACAGCAAGCACTTTACCTACCATCATAAACTGTGTAGTAATAATTTTCAAGCCTGCTATAATATCAAAGAAAGTCAACTTCTGGGATGATTTGGTTTTGCCCCATGAAAATTTGACTAGGATTTCACAACTGAGATTTGGAATACTATAAAGGCCAAGAGTTTAGTCTTTGGATTCTGGAAAGCATGGGCTTGAATGCAAGCTCCATTAATTACTAGGCTTTACTTAATCTTATGGAATTCTACTCATTTTGTCCCAAAATGGAAATGAAAGAAGTAGCTACATCAGAGCAACTCGCTGTATGTATATAAGAGACCACCTATATCACACAGCAAGCCCAGGGCATGGTAAATACTATGAATAATAGGAACTATCATTTTTACCTCTACAGGGGGGGGTCACACAACATGTAATAACCATTAATTCTTTCTTTTTCAAGAGCTCCTCTAATGTCCTGTTGCAGATGATGTTGGAAGATCCTTGAAGGTAGGAACATTGTAGGCATGTTTCATAGGAAAGAACCAGAACAGAGCTAAGAATGATGACAATACTAATAAGGGTAACATTAAAACAGTAACAGCTCCTGACAGGATTTTGTCTTTATCCCATAGAATTCTTACCTCAGGGGGATGCCCCTCAAAATGAGGACGCCTGCAGCTTGAAACATACTTATCCCACTCATGAAAAGATTTTGAACAATTGTAGGGATGACTCTCACCCATACTATCCTCTGTTTGAGCCCGGACAATTCCACTAAAACAGATAAAGTAGAACAGTTTGTGTTGATGAACTATGCAAGGTCAGGAACTGGGACATGAGAATGAGGGTCTGAAGACCTTACCCCATGCCATGGAGCGCTAAGCAGATGATATAGATGATGAAAAGGTGGTGTGTATACCAGAAGAGCTCAAAATAATTCCTTCGGATAAATTCCACAGCTGAAGTTACCATGAGAATCAAGGCTATTGTGAGGATCACTCCAGTCAGTCCAGCAATGCTAGTAAATGTAGCATATATCACTGTCTGTGAAAGGAGAAATGTCAGCAATGTCCACCAAGGATACCATGATCTTCCTGATCATGACCAGATCCCTGTGCTTTGCCATTGAATCACCTCACCATATTTGGTGACTGGATTGGATTTAGCCAAGAATTGCTCTCTTTCTCATGACGGGATAGGCTGGAGAGAACAGACGCAAGAGATCCATCCATAGCCTGTTGGCTTCTGCTGTAGTGTTCAAAGTTAAATAGGTGTGCAATGATATGGATAGCTAAGTGGAAAGATGGGAAGCAAAGAGGTGTCTCAGAAACATTATTGCAATCATACCCCACTAGAATGAGAAACTCCTACTTGTAATGCCTAGCAGAATGCTGAGGCCACAGTATGCCCCACAATGCAGAGAGATTCAAGACTTTTAATCTCCACTCAGTTCCCAAAGGAACAGAATATATACTGTATGAATATAGGTCTAGAAAAGTGCCTCGAAAGTAGTGCCGGGGCCCCTTATTTTTTTTAATGTTTATATGCATGGGCAAATGAAACTAGCCTCTGAACACCCTGGTGTCCACAGTTCAATGTCTTGCCTGACTTACCTGTGAATACGCAGATCATATATGCCACCAGCTTATGGAAGGTGAGGTTATGATCCAATGGCTTTCTCAGTGTGTGGTTGCAAAACTACAAAGGCAAAGTGATCATGGTCAGGTGTCACCAACCAGTCTTATCAAATTCACTAACCCACGCCAACATGTCTTGGACATGGGATACCAATACCCAGTCATCTTTATCCACCTCCTTGGTCTCTAAAGGAGCACTCTAAGTTCCATTCCTAAGGACTTGGTATTGAGGTACCTACTGAGGAAACCAGGGACTTTTTCTTTAAAGTGAAAGTTGACCTAAGGAAAGTGGGGACTCACTGAGCAGGTGCCCCTCAGGAAGGACAGCAGATTTCGACACACCGGAATCAGGATCAGCATGCTGTTACAATTCAAGCAGAGAGCAGATGCCCGGGCAAAGGCCAATGCTGTCTGGAACAGAGGTAAAAAGAGACAGACTGTTATTTATCTCAGCACCTAGCAGTGAAAACTGGCCAGGTCCACTTTTCTCAGACCAGCAAATAGACAGCGAAGAGCTTCTTGCATGTCTCACTTTTTCTCAGTAACCAGCTCATCAGGCCGAACTCTCTGTTTGCCAAAGAGAAAATGTGCAAAATGTATGGCAGTCATTTGGTAATGTATTTGTTAATGTGAAAGAGAACAAAATTCAGTGAGTCTACATTAGCAAATATATTCTATGAATGTAATATTTTAAAGTAATATTTTATACATCTAATTACAATTTTATTATTCATCCTTCATAAAACTACCTGGATGACCATATATACTTTTATTTACTTTTTAACTAATGATTGTATTTAAAGGCACAGTCATGGATAGTAACTATTTTATTCTGTTTTTTGTGTTTTCTAATGTTGAAATTATAAGAATGTATATAAAACAATCAATAAAAATTTAACCAATATATTTAAGATACCTTTAAAAATTGAACCCTGGGAGCAAAATTATTTATTTACATACTTAATTATTTATTTTATGTGTATGAGAGTTTAACCTGCATGTATGTAAATCATTTGTTTTACAATGTCCACAGAGGCCAGAAGAAGGTGTTGGATCCCCTAGAAATGGACTTAAGGATGGTTGTTAGCTACCATGTGGGTGCTCTGAACTGATCAAAGGTCTGCTGGAAGAACAGCCAGTGTTCTTAACTGCTGGGGCATCTCTTCAACCCCAGAGCAAAATTCTTAGGCATAGCTAGAGATTTGAGAAAAGAGAGCCTTTCTTTTTTCAGTGCTGGTCATGGAGCCCAGGGCCTCCTGGATAGTAGGTAAGTACAGTGCCCTGAGAGACTTTCAGGATGATTTCCTTGGGTGACTAAGTGACATAAACCAAGGACAACTTGATACAGCAATAAACAGTATAGGCTGGTCACAATATGCTAGACTACATGGTAGCTAAAAACCTCTTAACGATATAACCAGTCTCCAAGTCTGCTTAATGTACTTTGGGCTATGAGCTATGTGTATGCCAATCTTGTGGTGGTGGTGGTAGTAGTAGTAGTAGTAGTAGTAGTAGTAGTAGTAATAGTAGTAGTTGTAGTAGTTATGGGGGAAGGATGGGGGTGAGGGCATGGAAGCAGCCAGGCTACTTTTGTTGCAATTTAGCTAACTGGTTGATGACTCTTATATGTGTGCCTGTCAAAGATTTTCTTAAAAGATGATTATAGGTTAGTAATAACACCTTCTTAGCCTTTTTCTAATAATTAGTAATGCACCAAAATTATTTTTCCAGACTGCCCCCATTCATGAATTGAGAGAATCAATATTGTGCTAATGGTTATAATAATGAAAGTAGACTACAGATTCAATGCAATCCCCATCAAAGTCCCAAAGACATCCTTTCTTGGCAGAACTAGACGAAACACTCCTAAAACTAATGTATAAGCACAAAAGACCCTGAATATCCACAGGAATCCTTAGAACAAAGAATAATGCTGTAGATATCACAAAATTTGACCTCAAATTGTACTACAGAGCTGTAACAACAAAAACTGTGTGGTACTGGCACAAAAACAGACAGATAGGGCTGGGAACATGGTTCAGCAGGGAAGAATACCAGCTATGCAAGCATGAGGATCTGAGTTCAAATCCCCAACACTCATGTAAAAAGCCAGGTATAGTTACACAGCTGTAAATCCAAAGCTGGAGGTCAGGGAAGAGGCAGGAGGATCACTGAGACTTGTTGGCCACTAGCCCAGCTCCAGTTTCGGTGAGAGATCCTGTCTCAAAGGAATAAGGTGGAGAGTAGTAGAGCAAAACATCCAACATCTTCCTGTGGCTTTTGCATGAGCATGGGGTGGACACAATCATACACACATGTGTGCATTCACCACCCCCCAACAGACATTCAGTCACTCTCACACAAACACACATTTAAAAAAAATTAGAAAACACATAGCCGAAATAAACCCACACACCTACAACTACCTATTTTTTTTTACAACAGTATCAAAAACATACATTGGGGGAAAAAAGTCATCCTCTTCACCAAACAGTGCTGGGAAAACTGGATACCCACCTGTTGAAGGATGAAACTACATCCGTATAATTCATTATGCACAAAAAAATTAATTCAAAATGAATTAGAGACCTATATTCAAGGCCTAAAATTTTGAAACTGCTAGAGAAATACATAGAGAAATCCCCTTCAACATATAAGCACAGGCAAGGACTTTTTGAAAAAGATTGTAATAGCCTAGGAAATAATCCCATGATTTGAAAAATGGGATTACAGGAAATTATAAAGTTTCTTTGGGGCTAGTGACATAGCTCAGCAGGCAAAGGTACTTGTCTCCAAGTCTGACAACTTGAGTTTCATCCCCATGACCCACATGGTAGAAGGAGAGAATCAATTTCTGCTGCAGTACACTTGCATGCATGTACACATACATGTATGTATGCTCTGTGTGTGTGTCTGTGTATCTTTCTGTCTGTGTATCTCTCTCTCTCTCTTGTGTGTGTGTGTGTGTGTGTGTGTGTGTGTGTGTGTGTGTGTGTGTGTGTGTGTAGGCCATGAAAATAGAAATGGGACCATGGGAGGGGAGAAAGAGATCTTAAGGTACATGGGAGGGAGAAAAAAATGAGAGAGTAATGGATTACATGTGACAATGAAGCAGAAAAGGGGACTGTGAGGATAGAGAACCAGCAAGTTGTGCTTAAGGGGGATTGAGGACTGCATTGCAGGAGGGGATGAGCAAGAACAGAGTAAAAAATGTGTGTGTGTGTGTGTGTGTGTGTGTGTGTGTGTGTGTGTAAGAAAATGCCATAAGGGAAACCATTACTTTGTACAGTAACTTGAAAAAAGGAGGGAGGGAGGGATGGAGGGAGGGAGGGAGAGGGAGAGGGAGGGAGAGGGAGAGGGAGTAGAGAGAGAGAGAGAGAGAGAGAGAGAGAGAGAGAGAGAGAGAACAATGTTTAAAGAGGAAAAGAAAACTATTCTTTCCATACAACCTAAAGCCAGGACAATGTGAGCTTGGTGCAATAAGCCTGGTCAAGATCACCTAGTGTCCATAATGGCTTACAACTGTAGGCAGTGCAGTGAACAAGAGCTGCCCTACTGCTTTCCATTTCTGACTCTTCACAAGACCCTTTTTTCCCCTCTGCTGAGTCACACTCTGATTGTTTTTGGTAGAGACAGCCTGTTCCATTTCAGAAGAAATTTTTTTCTGCTCATCTCAAAGATCCTACATTTCCACATTGGCTCCCACAGCTTCCTTATTTGAGTCACAGAGGTTTCTTGAAGCTAAAATTGGCAAGTAAATTGAAAATATAGGACTATAATTTCACAGCTCCATATTCTGTGGCAATTATCCGTCTGGGATGAATTCTTTTTAGAAAAAAAGTCCTTTTTCTCCCTATTGCAGTACATGAAACTATCCTGGTATATAGTCGTTTCTCTCCATCAACTCTCACAGATGTTATAATTGAAATCTGCTGTCATTGGTTCTTCACTGACTGCAGATTTCAACTTCTTCCTCTGTGCCTTATTTGTTATGCTTCACAGTGGATCAAATGGCTCTCTGTAGTCTCCCGAGGTGACCATGAATGTTGAAAACTCCCTATGGAATGGATCAATCAATTATGGCTCATCAATATAAGGGGTTGCTGTTCTCTGCAAAAGCTAAAAGCAGTAGTCTAAGCATTGTAAATGTTTTGCCAACCAGGGCTTTTAAAATTAAGTTTATATATTTTTAAGTTTTCTTTTATGTACCTATACACTATATATTGAGCATATTCCTACCCACACCCTCATAGGCTCCTTTTCCTCACCCTTCTCCCCTCTTGTGAGTCCCCTTTGCCCCGCCCCTGACACTTTTGCTTCTACATTCATGTAGAAGCTTTCATGTCCTATATGCATACATGATTTTATTTATCTACATCAATTTTAGGAACTACAAATAAGAGAAAACATGATAATATTATCTTTCTGAGCCTGATTTGACTTACTTAATATGCTTTTCTCCAGTTCCATATTGTTCCCTGAAAATACAAAACTTTGGATTTTTGAAAATTATTTTTAATCTATGTGTATGTGTATTGCCTACATGTGTGTAAGTACACCATGTCATGCAAAGTCCACAAAGGTCAAAAGAGGGCATCGGATTCCTAGGAACTGGAGTTGCAGATGGTTGTTAGCCACTATATGGGTACTGGGAACTGAACCTAGACCCTCCGCAAGAGCAGCCAGTGCTCTTAACCTCTGAGCCATCTCTCCAGCCCCAACATTGTTTTTCTTTATCACTGAAAAACATTTTGTTGTACATATACACCACATTTTGTTTCTCTCTTCCTCAGTTAACAGCCCACCTGTTTTTGTGCCAGTTAAATGGCACATCTCCATTTCCAGCATCTGCCCATTTTGATGATGTAACTACTCCCACCATGGAAAATTTCAAGACACCACCTTGGTATCATTGAACACAGATTTGAGAAGAGATGTACATCATTGCAACTTGGGACAAGCTGGCTCCACTACTCACATGGAAAGATAGCTGAGATACATTGAGCATAAAAAGTGATTTCCAACTAATGTTTACAGTGTGATTGCCTTTAAATTTTTTTTAAATTTATATTCATTTTATGTGTATGAGTGCTTTGCCTGCATGCATGTCAGTGCTCCACATATATGCAATGCTTGCAGGGGCCAGAAGATGGTATTGGATCCCCTGGAACTGGCATTGTGGGTACTTGTTAGCTGCCATGTGGCTCCTGGAAACCAAATTTGGGTCCTCTACAGGAACAACCAATGCTCTTAATCACTGAACTGACTCTCCAACCCTGTGATCTCCTTTTTGACTGAGTAAAAAAAATTTCCTGTGTTTGTAGACTTACATAACAAAGAGAACAGTTTTCACTATGTGGAAATTAAAGAGTAAATATTACCTCAGAACAAAAACAATATATGTGTGTCTGATGCATTTGTGATTGTGTCAGTGTGGCTATTTATACTCTTGCCAACCTATAGTGGTGAACTCTGAGGAGTAGGATATAGAAGGGGGATTTTTTTCACGTTACTGGCACACTTTGATCTCACCGAAAACAGCATCATATATATATATAATATATATATAACCTATATATATATATATATATTGGTTTTTTGAAACAGGGTCTCCCTGTAGCCCCTGCTGGCCTAGAATTCACTATAATTAAATTCTAAATAGAGCTTTAAATCTGAAGCATCCACAGGATATCAGTATGATTCATTTTTCTGTAACTGGCTTTTCAGTCATTAAGTGATCAAGTTCTTAATAACTAGTCACATTTATTGCATCATTCTGTTAACAAAAAACTATTTTAAGACGTATTAACACTTCCTTTGGGTTTTAGTTTCTAAAAATGGATCAAGGATGAACATTTAAAATGGAAAACAGCAGGGTGAAATAAGCCATGAACATTCATTGTGATCTCAACATGTATCCTTTGGTTATGCAGAGAAAAGAATTTTTAAAGAATAAGCTGCCTTTAAATATGAACATTGAGTGAGCCTTTGTGGAAAGCTATTGAGATAAAGCTCCATCAAGATAAAAGTGTTTTGATCAAATCCTCTTCCTGTTATTGAATGACAGACAGAAGTGGCAATCAAATTTGCTGTCCTAAGCAGGTAGGGCCCAGGTACACCACCTGGAAGGAGCCTGTCTCACCACCAGCTTTCCTTTCGGCCACACCCATGTGCCCGCTTACTCTTCCACCCTTTTCTGTATTTAATCTACCACTACACCAGGCCTGTTCTTACCCTGAGCTGACCCCACTTTCCTGTAGTCTTTGAGTTCTGAAGCACCATCTACCCTCTCATCCTCTCATCCCCCTAAGTATCTTTCTTGTTTCATATGGAGGCATTAGTTCACAGCAGTGATTTCCAAGTTTTCTTTTTTTTCAGAAAAAATGTTCTATGTCTCATGAAGGAGGAATAATACATTTTCTTTAGGGATGAGCTCCCTGATAGGTTATCTAATCCCAAGTGGTCAACCATAAATACATGTACACTCAGGAACCACTAAATGGACTCTGTATATTGAGAGAGAGAGAGAGAGAGAGAGAGAAACAATAACCAAAGAAGAGATCATAAAGTTGGGAGGGAGTGGGGGGGACATAGGAGGAGTAGGAGAAAGGAGCAGATTGGGTGGTGTGATGTAAATATGGTGCTCATGTTTGAAACTGTCAAAATATTTAAATTATACGTGTGTGTGATATGTGTGTGTGTATGATGCATGTGTGAAGGTCAGAGGAAAACTTGCAGTAGTCAGTTCTTTCCTTCTACCATATGGGTCCCAAGTATCAAACTCATGTCATCAGACTTGGTGGCAAGTGCCTTTAGTCACTGAGCCATTTTGCTGGCCCCAAGTTTTCCTGTTTTGTTTCTCCATTTTTTATTTTCCTTGCTTCATCTCTTCCTGACCAATATTTTTCATTTTACTTTTGCGGTGCTAGGAAATGAACCCATAGGTTTGGGCACATCAGGCAAGTGTTCTACAGTTGAACTACATCTCTAACCCAGCAAACTCTATAAATCATAAACAGAGTCCATAAGATGGATGGAGGCTGCTCTGGCTGAAGTGGGAGCAGGGACAGGAGCTCTTCTACCTAGTTAGCCTTCTTCTGAAACCCTGTAAGAGCATGTAAGTTTCTGAAAACCATTGCAAACAACTACCTAAAAGTGTTCTTTATTTTATTTTTTGCTTAATGGGCCTGGAGAGTGTGCCCATTGTCAGATTTTGCAAGTAAAAATACTGCATGTACCACTGACTTAGAAATTTATATAAAAATGAATATTTTGTATACTTATGTATAGAGTTTGACTACACATCTATCAGAAATGATTCATCATTTATCTGAAATTCTAATTGGACTAACATCCTGAATTCTTCTTTGTGGTAATTCTACCCCTAGAGGAAATCAGAGTTGAGTCACAAAGGAGCAGAAATGGAAATTTAACAACACACACACACACACACACACACACACACACACACACACACACACGTAGCCCCCGCCTGGTGGCACATGCCTATAACTGAGCCAGAAGGACTATAAGATCTAGGCCAGCCTGGACTACATAATAATACATCTTAAAAAAGAAAAAAGAAATTCTCCACATCAAAAGCGTTATACTCACCCCAAGAATTTCTCTTGTGTAAAAGTACTTGTCAGCCTTCTCATAAATCAGGAAGGCATACACAAATAGGAAAATGTTCAGCCCCAACCAAGCAACCTAGAGGAAGAAAAATCAAGCAAGGACATGGGAAATTAGGGAATGGGTAGGTAAGGGATAAGAAATAGTGTTGCCATCTTGAGCATTTTGTGTTCATTTATTTTCATTTTAAAATAATAAAATTCTGCCAATATCAAACTTATTTTCATAGTGAGCAATTTAAGACACACATTAGATACTAATAAATTGTGTCAGCAACCTAAGGCCCCTGGGTCAAATTTGGCTCTTTATCTATTTTACATGCCTTGCAAACTCAGGGTGTCTACATTTTGTGCTTTCAATTTAAATGGTTAAGTTGTAAACATCAAAACAACAAAGTATCAGGACATAAAAATCACATGCAATTCAAATTTCATTGACCATAAATATGTGGCATTGGAATGCCTACCCTTTTTTGCATTGTTTACCAATGTTTTCATGAGTCTATGGCAGAGATGAGTAGCCAGGATGGAGACCATATGGACTATAGAAACCTCAAATATCTAGCTAGCTTTCTTCAGAAATATTTTCCAGTTCCTAGACTAGAGCTTTTCGTATTGTACCTAAAAGATGGCACTAAGAGAATAACTGAATTTCTGGTGGGGGTGGGGGGAACAAAGAATAAATTTAGCATCTATAAAACAATGCCCATCTGAAAAAGAATGAACCGTTCCCAGAGAGGCCTGCCTCTTTAATTACACCCTGACATATATTGTTCTCTTTTTACATTATGGATCTTTTTTTTTTAAACAAATTGAGCTAGTGTTGTTTTGGACTCATGTGAGCTCTGAGGACTGTGCGTGTTTGTCCAAAGCTCTGTTTAAGAGGTCTAAGAGGGTGATTTGAAAATTCACTGCATGTTGCCTTAGAGGTCAACCAACTGAGCTCTAGCCCAAGTTTGGGGGTGCTAATCTGCAATTGAGTAGATCCCTACAGTACTGGGGTATCTTTTGAATATATCTCAGATACCACATCTTCGAGAATCATTTCAGCTCAGAGGTAAAGGGTCTTAGCCTAGGGCACGGCCCACACATTCCCTAAATCTGAACCATTCACAGACTCATAGCAGTACAGCAAAGTGATTCTAAGTGCAACACTGGAATCAAACATCTGGGGATCAAATTCTAGTGCCACCATTTAGTAGCTCTGTAATCTTAGAAGCATGATTTAAATTATAGGATCAGTTTCTTCACTTGTAAAATGAGAGCAACAATATTTACCTCACACAATGCTGTGGGCTTGCATGAACCAATACATGTAAAGTTAGTAATGCAATGCTTTGTGTAGAGTAAGATCATTTTTAAATATTTTATTTATTATTATTTCAGGGAATAATAATATTTATTGGGATAACTAACAGAGAATATGATGGCAGTTAAAAGTTACTATTATTATTTTTTATTTTATGTGTATGAGTGTATTGCCTGCAAGTATGTAAGTGCATCCATGTCGTACAATGCCTGCAGAGGTCAGAAGAGGGCTTCAGATCCCCTGGAACTGGAGTCAAGGATGGTTGTTAGCCTCCATGTGGGTGCTGGGAATTGAACCCGGGTCCTCTGCAAGAGCAGCCAGTGCTCCTAACCACTGAGCCATCTCCCCAGCCCCCATAGTAAGATCTTAATAAATGCTGTCTATTGAGTTGGAGTTGGAGAGGTCAGAAGAGGGCTTCAGAGCCCCTGGAACTGGAGTCAAGGATGGTTGTTAGCCTCCATGTGGGTGCTGGGAATTGAACCCGGGTCCTCTGCAAGAGCAGCCAGTGCTCCTAACCACTGAGCCATCTCCCCAGCCCCCATAGTAAGATCTTAATAAATGCTGTCTATTGAGTTGGAGTTGCAACATTACCAAACTTGTTCTTTTCTTCTTTCTCTTTCTTTCTTTCTTTCTTTTTCTTTCTTTCTTTCTTTCTTTCTTTCTCTTGCTCCTTCCTTCCTTCCTTCCTTCCTTCCTTCCTTCCTTCCTTCCTCCCTCCCTCCCTCCCTCCTTTCTC